GCCGTCTTACCTTCCTTCGCACCCGTCACCTTGCCCCCGCCCATCAGGAAAAGGACCACGGGGCAGTGCAGGTGGGTCACAGTGCTGCAGGAAGAGGTCAAGGGCCCGGCCCAGTACAGTACATAGGACCAGGCGAGCCAGGGGTGCCTGCTGCCAAAGGGTGGCTTCCTCTGGCTGATGTCCTCTGGCCCCCATGATTCACACGTGGACCAGGACCAGATGGGGAGCTTAAGCAAGGCGCAGGATGTGTGCGGACAGGAGCTGAACTCACATGAGGATACGGCAGTACTGAGGGAGGCTTCGACCCGCCCAATGTCACGACCAGCTCGCAAGTGGCCTGCCACTGGCCTGCAGCATGGGACTGCTGATTGGCACAGGTGGCACGTGAGAGGGTGGGCACTTTGGCTTGGGGTCCCATTTGGGGGGTGTAGCGTAACACAGGCTTTGTGTGTGCCGCTTTATTAGTTATTATCATGGGGGTCCAAAGCCCCAAGAGGAACCAACTGCACCCCCCGACACACATTACCACGGCCAACCACACCTCTCGTTATTACCAGCCCCCTGCTAGCCTTATTTGATGACCCCCCTTAACCTGGAGTAATTTCCAGAAGGGGAGGGCGAGGGTCCTGGGAGTGACAGGACAGCCAAAGCAGTTACTGTGGCACATGGGCCACCTGCACACTTGGTCATATGACTGTAAGACTGCAGGTGGGGGAGGGGGGGTAGTTGAAAAACAAACACCTTTCAGTCATATTCCCACCATGCTCCTCACCCCCGACCCCATTGCGAGCCACGTTTAGCTCGAGCTCCATGGACAAAAAACACGGCGCCGCATGAAATACGGCGACGCGCCGTAAGAATTTCCGAGGCATGCGGGCGTCCCACGGGGCCTGGAGCACGCTTGCTCGGCCAGCCGAATCCGCGGCACCACGCGCCGACTAAGAGGAGGCAGGTGTTTGGACGGGAGGAGAGAGCGAGCGGGAGGCACGAAGGGATGAACCAAAATAAATGATTTAATGAGGAACACATTACGTGGAGGGTCTCTTGCAGATGTGGCGCAATACTTATGGAAGTGTCATCCCATAATAGTGTGTTGCTTAGCGATCACTAGCTGTTGCCATAAGTGTTCCTGAGTGCTGGCCTCTTGGCTGTCTGATGCATGGCGTGAGGGATCTTTAAGCCTCAGGTCAGCTGAGAGGCCTTGGTACACGGCGCCCCTTGCAGGACAGTAAAGGCAGTAAACTGGGAAATGGCCGAGTCATGGACCTTTCCATGGGTGTAGCAGGTGTGGAGATGCTTAAGCTTCTGATCTCAGGAGGGTTAGACCTTCACGAGGCCCACACACTGAGAGGCACCAGGACCTCCTTGGCATCGGGTCAGTAAAGCATTGAACATGAACTGCAGTAAAGTTGTGAGCAGATGTTTGTGAAGCCGGTTCACCAATGGTAGAGTGTCCTGGAGGGCTGGATGGAGGTGTGATGCCTTCCTCAAACAGCAAGGGCTGTTGGGGGGCTGTCTGACCCAATGGTGAGGGGACAGCATGGCGAATTCCGGAAATCCAGTCTTGTGTAGCTCCTGGGCTGCATCATCTTCAGGGCTGATGAGGCACCAATATTTGGGAGGAGATGCTGAGAGCCACAGAAGCTCTGGCAGGATGAGCTTGCCTTCGTTACGAAGAGCGGAGGATGCCGATCAGACGTTAGCTCACAGGACATTGGCCAGATGTTAGCTCACAGGACATTGGCCAGATGTTAGCTCACAGGACATTGGCCAGATGTTAGCTCACAGGCCACCGTCATCAGTGACAGGATCCTCCCCCTGGTGACAAACACCTGGACAGCAGTCGCTAAGCAGGAATATAGCCTCTGTCAGAAAGTACGGAACCACGGGAAACAAATGCAAGCTGCTTTCATCACTGACGTCACCCCCCCACTCCTGAGCAGGTGAGCCCTGGGACACAGAGCGGTGCACAGAGTCGGTGGCCTGTCGGTCTCTGACATCCTACTTGGGAGCACATACACCCCCGTCTCACATACCTCTTGATCATTCTGCTTCCTTATTACTGCCCAGGCATAATCAGATTTTACAGAACTTCCTTAGAATTTTATTCCTTCACTGCCCAGGTGTATTTGTCTAAACCGTTCATGAAGACGACTACTGTGGGGAATTAGTTTATTCGGAAATCTGACTTCCCCTTCCTAGGAGGGGGTCTTGTTACATGTGAAACATCCAGACAGACTGAGAGCGACTTCAGATGGGTCCACTGTCTCTGAAAGGGTCACGCAGGTCGTAAGACGCGAAGCCCTCTGTCAGATGCCAATAGCTGCTTTTGCTTATTTTCAACAAATTGTGATCAACATTAGTCCTTTTTATTTTTTTTTGGGTGGAGCATAGCATAACCCCAGATCGCCAGGGGCCTGACAGATCGGAACAGCGGAGAAGTGCCTCTGTGGCAAGAGAGCAACCTATTCAGGGCAGATAAGCGGCACGTCTAACAGAGCGCATTTCAGCAGGATGTGTTCCTTTGATACCTCGTAGGTAGAGTAACGCTCTCCAGATGTGGGGGCGGGGGGTCCAGACGGCAGCTGAAAAACATGGGGGCCACCTGGCATGAGGGCTGACCCGGCGAGTCCTAGTCCCGCCCTGTCGGAGGCAGCAGGGGCCAAATGCCCTGGAGTAATTTCATTGTAAATTTAAATCTTGTTCCTTTTTCCCTCCCTGGTTTTCTTTTTCTCCCCTTGTCACGTACCAGTGTCCCTGGAGGCTGAGGTTAGTATTCTGTGTAACTCCCATGAAAGACCTGTAACGGGCAGCCTATAAAGTTTCCCCTGCTGCACGCCCCGCGGATCTCAAAAAAACAACTGCAAGCAGACGTAGAAAGAGAAGAGATTTATTGTATTTACTGATAAATAGGAAATAACGTCAAGGTACAACCGAGCCAAAAGACACCCATGTCCAGTCACACTTAAGTCTCGCCCTGGCTTGCAGTTTCCCAGCTAATGTTCCAGATCTTTCCACGTTCTTTTCCATGCTTCGCATTGGTGGCAACCACTGTTTGTTCTGGTATTTGCCTGGCAGTTTGCATTTATCCAGACCACTTCTAGAATTCACTATGAAGTTCTGCTACCTCATAAGAAACCAGAGCTGGACATTGGCTGGCCTGGGACCACATGACGAGTCACATGACCATCTTGCCCTTATAAAAGGCTTTTGATTCTCTTGATTCCTTTGCAGACAGGTCCCAGGCCACCATCTTGCCCATGTTCAAAACAATGCCTCAAACTTTCTCTCAATGGTGCCCCAAGGGAGACCAAATCACAGTGGTTTTTGGAACCAATTACGATTTATTCGTAGCTGGTAAAAGGAATCAATTCATTGTGTTGTACGCACTGATGAAAGTGCCTCAAAAGTTTCAGGACCTGCCAACTGGCTAAAATATTGCTTATTTTCCACAAACAGAATCCACAATTAGCACATTTAAGACAGATTTGTTTAAAAAAAAAGTACATCACGAAACACTATAAATAGCTACAATTGCACTCTCCTTCATTCTCCTTCATGCATTAGTACTTTTCTTTCAACTTTCTACATATTTTTAAGTCTTTAATGGTGAAATGCATCCTCACTCCCAGCAGCAGTTCCAGTCACTCAAACTCTAAAATGAAAAGCTTGGCGTTGTCTGTTGCCATGGAAACATTCGCCACTCGTTGTGCGTGTCGACAGATAACCGCTCGGCCTTGATTCCCACGCAGTGTTCCCTGTCCGACTCCGGAAAGCTGCTGCCGGACCTGCTTTCTCAGAGCATGGAAGCTTTAATGTGAACTTCTTGAGCTTCCTGACACGGACGTGGGCTGCCTGTTTCCACGGTAACCTCACTGCTCCTCACACCTTTCATCTCTTCCGTTCGGAAACGTGTCTCCAGCTTTGGGTTTTACCTGGAAGCGTCTGAGGCAGGCACACGTGGCCGGCCACTGCCCCCTGATAACACCGTGATTCGTGTCTCGGGTCATGTCCCAGAAACGCAGAGCAACTAAACGCGAACATGCTGTCCCCCTGCTGAGGTGTAAAGCTAGTCCCTTCCTCCCCTCCAGAGATCAGTCTGCTGCACGGGTCAGAGTTACATGCCTTGAGCTGGTTAAAAAAAAATATGCACTTTGTGGCAAACTTGCATCCAACAATTATTAACGTGAATCGGTATTTTTCATGGAATAACTACATTTCATGGGATGCCATCTATGAAAGGCACCTTTACAAAGTGAAATGACAGAACAGAAATGTACCATCTCCACACTGACATTGCGTTACGCTGGCAGACAAATAGGAATATGTAATACAACTTTATATTTTATTTTAAAGGTATTTCACGATACAAAAATATTGATCACAGTGTATTTTCCTGAAAGGCTGAAATACTATGAACAGGAATGTTTGCAAACAATTAGTGGCAATAAATTATAAAATCATTATTTGACACATACAAATAAAAACGGAGCCGGTAACCATAGAAACAGACGGCGTGTGTAAGTCCTCAGTTCATTACGTCATTATGCTCACATCCGGCTTTGTTTCCTCTTGTAGCTTCTCAATGCTGATGCTGCCGTTGATGTTACTGTCGTTTATATTTCCCATAATCCCACACTCTGTGTCCATGTGACCATTTTGATGAGGGGGCTACAGTTTACCAGCCAGTACACCCCGCCTCCTCAGTCCTGCCTCCTCCAGTATGTGGGTATACAACGGCACACCTCCTCGCTGAAGTAAAATCCCGCCTCACACTTCCTCCTGCGTACCTCACACGGGGGGCGGTAGCAGCTGAAAGCCAAACAAGCCAAATTAATCCTGGGGGGGGGGAAGAGACTGGGAGTGATGTCTGACTAACACTGAAACACTCGCCTGTACACAAATGGAACGCTGTGAGAGAGACTGTGGCTTTTTTGTTGCAGTTTCATTGATGGAGGGCAGGAGAGGTACCAGCAGTTGCTGCTGGTCACCCAATTAAACCTGAGGGTCGTGATTGTTCTTTATGGGGGGGGTGGGGGCTTCTTATAGGGGGAGAGGGCAGGCTGACCTCCATAAAACCCGCCCCCTGGGTCTAGGATCCGCAGAAAACAAAAGCAGACTGCGTAATGCCGTCGAGGTAGAAAAGCGGTGTGGAAACACTGACATTAGTTGGGGGGCAGTGGGGGTTTGGAGGGGGGGGTGACATTACCACAGCCGGGGCATCCGGCAGCCTGTGATACCCCCCCAAACAGGCAGCATTACTCTCACGTCAGTCTGCCTCAAGCACAAAGCACGGAATGGGCAGAGTCTCCGAGAGGATTGTACTTGGCTGGATGAGCGGGGGCGTAAATTCCCAGGGAGTGTAAACACCGTGAGTCCTTACAGATAAAGGTGAGGGCTGAGCTGCTCATTAAACTAACGAAAATAATCAAATTCGCACGGTGGCGAAGGTACGGTAGCTCACCCAGGAGCAACGTAAAAGGATACGACACAAAAACACAGCGCAGAGCTCCCGTAACCCTAAGCAGACGACTCCAGCCTGATGTGGTTTCACGGTGGGGGGTTGTTTTATTTCAGGTTAGGGTACGGCCTTGCAGTCTAATCCGTGCCAATGCGGAAACCCTCATGCGATTCCGAATGTGTGCGCGCTGAGGCTCCGGCGGATTGCTGCGCTACACCCCGATGCGTCGGATGCGCCACTCTCAAGGCCCAGGGCCATCGCTGATGGAAAGCCGGCCGATAAGCGGCAACACGTGGGCGCAAATTGAGGGGGCTGCGCTGGGCTGAGGTCGCCGCAAAAGGAGAGTGCCGGCCAATCAGAGAGCTGCTAATCAGACCATTAGGCATGCAGCCAATCAGGGAGGAGTTATTCATTTAAACATGGGGTCGAATGGTGGTGCTAAGCTCTGGAGTGTATCACAGATTTAGGGGTGTTTTATGTACCTACTTACTGTAGATAATGTGAAAAACAGCAGGATAATTAAGATTGCTGTCTGGCACAGTGCTTTGTTTTGATGCCAGAAAGGCCCAGTGAGTTAAATCACTTAATAACTCCTTAACTGTCCAAGCCTGAGCATTTTTTTGTTTTTTTAATAGGAGCAGTTTAAAGGTCAGATGAGAACTTCAGTGATCCATCTTCTAAAATAACAAATCTGTCATTGACAAACGCCTATGACACATTCTGGTTTCTGATTGGCCCATATGGCGGTCACATGACAGTCCTGGTTACCTGCAGGTGGCTGGGTGGAAGCGGCGCCCACGCAGGAAGCAGCGGTTTGGTGACTCGGTGCATTCGCAGGCGCATTTGGCGGCGTTCAGGGGCTGGTGCCTGGGGCACGTCTTGGCGCACACACACTGGCACGCGTCCCTGCTGAAGACGTGCCCGGGCTTGCAGGGGGCGGCGGGCACCTTGCACACACACTGGCACGTGCGTGGGTCGGGCACACGGCCCGGCCCGCACGCCGCCTGGGCCTGCCTGCTGCACACGCACTCGCACGTCTCCTCGTCCAGCTCCCTGTCCGGTCCGCACGGGTCTTCACTGAGGAGTTCTGCTGGGGGGAGGGGGGGGGGGATTTAGCTTCTTATTCCACACTCAGCATATGGTTTCCATTAAGATAAGGAAGACACCGCATTCATTCTCAAATTCTTTTCTTGTCATCTGCGTTTAATTTGCCCTGAGTGTACTGTACGCGCTCTAGCGTGTGCATGCGTGCGTGTGTTTTTCCATGGGGGGTGGACATGTCATTTAGATTAGCTGCGTGTTTGCACGCTCGCCGCGGCGATCCACCCAAATTGACGCCCTCTGGAATGCCTCGCGTCCACGGTTCCCGCGGTTTTTGCCCCCAGAACACGCTGGGCTCCACGCTGTTGTTTGACAGTCTAATAAACGTTTTGAAAGAGAACATTCCTATTGAAAATTCCTCGTGATAACCCCCCCCCCCACATGGTGCAAACAGATGTTTCTCTTTGCATGCTGGCAAATCACTCTGCTCCACGGCTAATTCTATTACCCTGTTTCTATGCGACTGTAAAATAGCTCAGGGTTGTGCCTGTTAGAGAAAGCAGGCCTCCCCCCTCGCCACGTCATCACAATGTTTGTGCTCCCCAACGATGGCATGCCGATTACACCGCTTGTTTTTCCTCGACGAAGGACGGCTGTAGCCCAGATGAAAGAGAGCGATGGAAAAAATTGGTGTTATGGCAGGATTAACTTTTTAATTTACTATGATCTGCCAGCTGTGACACATTGTAATTTACAACAATAGAGCTGTAACTGGTCATTACTGGGACAAAACAAAATACGTCTTAAAATACTCAAAATTTCAGTTGTCGTTGTTATGACAATGACATTTGGTTCTTCATTCCTTGGAAGCGCTCCTAAGCCATCTATCTGGCACAAGCAGGCCAAGCCATGTCTGAAAGCATCCCAGAAGAGCCCATGTCCCTCCTGTGTAAGAACTCGCACCCCGTACGTCATGCGTTCAAAGGGCTCACGTTCATCCCAGCCTACTAATCGACTACCGAGTGCCCCATCTCGTCCTAACCCATGCATCATCGCAGCGGGTAATCAAAACCGTATGCGGCATTTCCTGAAAGCTCCAGCTACAGATGGACATGGCCCTCTCTGATCACCTGCAGCATTCCTGGCATGCACGGGCGCTGACATAAGGCACATGATCCTGCGACAGCCTCATGCCCTCTCATTCTAGCCTGGAGGTATTTTTAAGACTTTGTTTTTTTACGTCTTGTTTTTACGATTTATTCTATCCCTAAACTATGATAACAATAAGAACAAAGATTAAATTACTCCTGCCGCATGGTCACAGGGTTAACATCTCTTCCTGGATCAAATGTCGGTACCAGCACCACGTACCAGGGCCTGATGAGAAGGTTTCGTCAGGCTGAAGTACACATCTGCAGAGGACGTCGTCCCAGCCCTGGTTCCTCGGACATGTCTTGTTTGCCACACTGCACCTGGCAAGAGCACAGGTTGTCCATTTAGAGAAAGCTGGGTTATTGCAGGTGACGAATAGATGTTTTTGATGGATCTTTCAAGCGTAGCTGGACTTCTTTGATCCATTCTGAAATACTAACATGCCCTCCAGAGAAAGGTGCATGTTAGCAGTGCAGTTTCAGTTCCTTCATGAAGACCAGGAGAAGGCCACAGCTCCTGGTCAGCCACTCTGGCGGCTTGCTGTGGGTCGTGGATCTGGATCCATATGGCTCTCAGGTCCATCACCCTGCTCAACACATCCCCTACTCACATACACGTGTCTTAAAAACACTTGCAACCACATCAGCTCCCCCCCGACCACCGAGGCCCACCCCCTCTGACAACACAGGGGTCATGATACTTAACCACTCTCAGTACCGCACATCGCGCCGGGCGCCATTGCTGGTCCCGCCTCCCACTGAGTCACATGACATCAGCATGGTACATAACCACTCTCAGTACCGCACATCGCGCCGGGCGCCATTGCTGGTCCCGCCTCCCACTGAGTCACATGACATCAGCATGGTACATAACCACTCTCAGTACCGCACGCTGGACCACCCGCCATCGCCAGTCACGCTTTCAGCCAAGTCACATGTCATCAGAGTGTCACTTTTCCCACAGAAAATCAGAGTAGCCTGAGCTGACGGGTGTAAAACGACACGGAGCATCTAGTGGGGCGATGATATGACGGCATGGATGTGTTCTCATCATCGTGGCAGTCCAGGACCGTCTGTCTTCAGTGAAGCAGCCCGCCGCTCACCTGAGACATGGCATTCCACCCACCGGGAAATATCACCCCACACTTTATAAGTGGTCCTTGAAGCACCTCAACCTCTAATATTACTAATCCAAAATATGCTAAAGCAATGTTCACCTCTCTAAGTGCCAGGAGTATTACAGTTGCGAAAGTCTATACTCCAAGTTTACCGTAACTGTATACTGTAAGCTTACCGTACCTCTCAGCTCCCACAGAGTAAGTTTCTTCAATGAAAACCTAATGCAGATCCCCAGAAACCAAACCAGAACCACCGTTGATCACCGTCACTCGTGATAAGAGCAACACGCATGTCCTAAATTAATCACTCTGTGTACTCCCCTGGATGTTTCGCAAATGGGGGCTAAAAGGTTGAAATGTGAGTTCCTAGACAGATACTGACACCATGTTTAGAAAGGGAAAAAGGCCCAGACTGAACAAATTTACCTTCGAGTCCCAGGCCAGCACAGTCAAGCCGTGTTGACTGTGCTGACGGCCCACATTTAGTGCACCTGTGATCCAAGAAAATGCGGCCAAATTCCACAGTGCAGGATGTGTCCCTTGGTAGATGCCGTTCTATAAACTGATCTAGAGGAAATCTGCAGCCAGAGTCGAATGTTCAGATGTAAGGTGTGCTACATAAAGTAAAGAATCAGAAGAGGTGCTTGCATCTCTCTTGGAAGTAAAGCAACATGTCTGGCTGTCCTCTTGCTGTGATTTATATAGGCCCTGTTCCATTCAGACCCGTCTGTGCAGGCAATGGCCGCTGATCACCTCAGAAAGCAGCGCTGTAATCCAAAACCCCACAGTTGGGACATGTGAGATTGGCACTATGGTCTCTGATAACAATAAATTAATGATGTTCAAGGCATCGTTCCTCTGACCCCATGGGTCAAAGTGGGCCGAGATGTGGTGGAAAAACACTAAGGACCAAACTGAGAGAACAAAGTCAAAGTGGGGAAACATGGTGGGTCAAACCTGATCGTCAATTTATTTGTCTATCAATGGGGTTCTGGGATGCTATTATCCCCACAAAAATTAAAGAGATTGTCGAAATTTTTATGAAACACAGAACACGTGTCTTGTAATCCTATCAGCAATACTTTTTCGTATCATTGGTTATTTGTTTGACGTTCATGACCATGATATCTGGACGATGGATCGGCAGATGGCACTCTGACAGTTCGATGTGGTTCTAATTACCAAGCACTTAGCAGCTCAGACAGACAGCACATTACTGCTCGGTCATGGGCACATGGGAGACATTAGCCGTGGGCTAACCGTAGCTACCACAGACACCTGCACGTTGGCTAACACGTAACAGCTGTTAAATTTACAAAATGAAACCATAGGATTTTTAAAACACACTTTTAATTCTGGTTATAATTGTCAAGATCACACGTCAGGTTAGACTCTAGAAAACAGGCCACTCTTTCCACCATTTTCCTCTGTCGGTATGACGTAAAGGCTGGCGCTGTTTTGATGCTGAAATTCTTGAGCATATCCTGGGGTAAATGCGACAGCAAATATTACTGAAGGTTCAGTTTAAAAAGCTGCAGATATTCCTCCCAGTGAAATCACCACTCAAAACATTTCTAACCATCCAACTAACTTCTAGTCACTTATCCTGGTGAAACTCACCGGGGATTGGGAGCCTATTAAAGGTCACATGGAGCAGAAGCCTGAGGTACACCCTGCACAGGATTTCTTAAAATACTCCCCATTAATGGCCACTGGTCTTACTTTACTTCAGGGAGCCCTTCAATCTGGCAGCACTAAGTAGCCTTTTTGGGCCACAGAGCTTTCAGCCTGACAAAATTGCCTCGCACAGGAAAAGACGCAGAGGTTCCCAAGATTCATGGCCAAGGTAACCATGGAGGACGGGAAGACAGCCCTGAACAGTAACTAAGTGTCCTTTGCATTAGCTATGAGTATCTCTCGGATCATCCTATATAATACTCCTAATCTTACCTGAAGCCCGATCTACCCGCCCATTCTCCCAGTGTGGCAGCTGCCCAGCCCCTCAATGGCACATATACCTACCCTGAGGGGGTAAAGACTCATGGTCTGAGGGATGCATGTGCTTCTACTAAACCAGGCAGGTCCACCACAGTTGTCACTGACATCACAACTCCCCGTAGTTTTAGTATTTCCAAATCCTTGTGATGAGGGACCTTATTTGGGGGATTGGTAACTGGGGGTCAAGCTGGGGGGATACAATGCCTCTCCAGACAGCCACATCTCAGCTTCTCTGGAGGACCTAATTCTGGGCCGATCTAGCAGAGACCTCTAGCAGTGGTCAGCACTTAATCAGTGCTGTAGGAAATCTTGGCTGCTACATTCTCCCAAAATTGTAGCATCACATACTACTTTTTACTGTTGTGGATATTTAAGTCTGAAATATATGACCCATACCCACACATTAATTTGGAGCACAGCCATATACCCTAATGTCTGTAGTATCTACCCCCCTAATCTATTCAACCACAAAGTAATGAAAATGGATAAAAGGATAGCAGAAGTCATATTAGTGATAATTATTATTAATGTGATTACAGAAAGAATGTGTACTGTGATTCTGTGAAGGTTTCAGCTCCACATTTTTCACGGTCCCTTTGGGAGGCATTGGCTTGTCTCCGTGGTGATATATGTAGTGTTCACTTTACACCCCCTTTATGTTTCTCTCCCCAAAAATGTGCTCATATATCCCCCCCCCTCCCTCCCACTGAGGCACAACTTGCTCCTCTGGGGGGACCACAGACCTCACGTTCAGGGCCACGACACAATGGGTTACTGAACCCATCAGTCGCGGTACCGTCGCAGACGTCCTCGGGGAGCGGTTTATTCTGGGCCTAGCCCGCAGAAACCCGACCCCGAGGCACTGGGGGGCCTCGCGACGTAACAAATTTCCCCAAACAAAAATGCCAAAAAAAGAGGGAAAAAAGCAGATGTGAACTGCAGCCATACTGCGAAAATACTGCGAAAGCTGCCCGGTTCCGACAGGAAATGACTTCCAGTGCGACAGTAATCGCTTTAACTTTGGCAAATCCTGTTGTGCACATCGCACACGAGCAACTGCTTAATCCTTGATTACTTCAATGGCTTTGTTTGATCAGCCTGGCATCCTGGTGGCTAGAGGGTACCACGCGTGTCACGACGCATCTCCCTGTAAGTGCTCTGACAAACTCCAAGCCCATCGCACGCGCCGCGATCACACTCTCGAGGTTTCTTCTGTGAGCAGATAACTCATATGACTCATTCCTGCCTTATCCTTTTCTACAGCTTATTCTGCTTGCTTTTCTGTCTGCTCTGACGGCAGTCCTTCTTCTCCAATAGGTGTGTTTTGGATGCCCTGCCAACTACGCATCCCGCAAGCTCTGTCTATCTAAACAGTAAACACGCTCATGACTCAGTCAGGAAAAAAATAACCCAGAACTGCCATAAGGTCTGTGGGGAAGACTGCTGGACTGTAAAACTCCTTAAGGAAAAACTGAAGACGACCGTAAACATTTTTTTTTCCACACACAGAACAACAGTGTGATGAAAACGAGCCATACTTGGACGCCCACAGTGATTCGATTCCGTTTCGAGACTTTCCCAAAAATCATGCAGAATATCAAAAGGTTTCCTTCCAAGAAGTACAGTAAAGTTCATTAAGTTCTCAGATGCACTGCCTAGAATGGAAAGTTCATCAAAATCTATACGGGAAGTTCCTCAACAACCATATCCTACAACAACACATTGACAGGAAGCACTCGGAAGAACAACAATGAGCTTCCGCAGTAAATTACCTAGTGATGAAACAGTGAGGAAAGCCTTGCTGCATCGCACTAGTGTCATGCAGTGAAGCATTTACATCACTGCGAATATGGGGGAATGTCTCTGTTATTGGTGCAGAATGAGAGATATGTTTTTGAATGGGCACTTACTCTGGAAGAGCCCGCCTTATGATGGAGTGTGCTTGTCTGTAGATGTCCAGCTTGGACAGGCAGCGGCAGAGGGTGTGGTTAGCGAATCCAATGGTGACGGGCTTTGTTCCGTGGGTGATGGGGACGGTGATTTCAAACAGCTGCAGCGGAAGAGAGTCAGGAGCAGAAGGAGTCAGGTTTCACCAGGCTGAGAGCGACTGTTAACAACAAGAACAACCACGACAATACTAATAAATAACGGTCTCATTTAACTTGAGGCACTGCGGGCTGGATACAGCCGAAGATACCATCTGAGAAAGGGAATTTGATAAGGAACAGATAAACAAAGACTGTGTAACTGCTACAGACGACTAAAACCACAGTGCACTCTTAGGAAGTCACAGAGTATATTTTAAAAAGCACAGGAAGTGTGTGACAGGGACCCTGGCCGATTAAGATGTCACACAAACCGTGCCCTGAGTGTCACTTGGCTCAGTGTCTATTTTATAAACTGTCACATTAGCCAGAAGCTTCCGGAACTGGTCTGAGGCTGGGGGCCACTCGCGGATACATGGGGAGTTGATAAGGAGATGTTCCATTTAAGGCCAGACCACAGAGGCTCGCTGTTTGAGGTAATGTGTTTATTGAGCCACACTGGGCAGGAAGGTCTTGACTGCTTATAAGCAGCTCTATGTTCTACGGCTTCCCTTCCTATTAATGCCATGTCTTAGATGAAGAAGGGGCCTCGAACCCTTTACCCTGCTGATGCTGTGGTCACCTGATAAGCTTGAGAGCCTCCCTTGTCTTTGAAGTCTCCAGGGTCGCCGTGGTAACCTCGCCCTTGTGCTGCTTTGTCTCAAACTAACATCAGGGCATCCCAGTTCCTTACCACCAGCTCACTCTTCTGAGCACCTCTCTCAGCCATAACCAGCCATGAAATAAACAAGTGCGATTACCCTCTGACTTCTCGCACCACACCACAGAGTGCCAATGACACAAAGACAAGCATGTGTCCCTCCTCTCTATGAAACACTTCCTGTGATTGGCAAGTGGGTGTGTCGTTCTATAAGGCCTGTCTTCCTCTCCTGAATAAAAGCACCTGAATGGACGGCACGGGGTGTCACTCAGGTAAATATTGAAGTAAGTGGCCAGGTTTCAAACCAGGACTGTCTGAAATGTGAAGCACGGGAGTATCAAGTTGCACCAGGGCAATAAGAACAAGTTACAACACTGCTAAGATCTGGCCAAAGATAGCCCCCACTTTGGGGGGGGGAGGGGGGGTGCAACTGGAGCAGTACTGCAGCCTTCCCAGAAGGATCAGGCAGAGAAAGTGATCTGTCGACTCCTAACCCATTACCCCCACAGTGGGGACACCCCCCCCCCCTCCCCATCTATCTACACCCCCACATCACAAACGCTTTCCTGGAAGCTTAAGACCATCTTGACAGGGGGTCTGGGAGGCCTGATGACAGCTTGAGCTTAGCAGGACATCTCTCTCTATAAGAAAAACAGACATTAAATGCCAGAGGAGGAGACCAAAGCAGTGGTCAGCATGGGAGAGCCATCTAACCCAAGCTTGTTAAGCATCGGTGACCAAACCACCGGCCGTTAACTGGTGACAGCATTTAGCTGCTGAAAACAGTTTATGGTACTGAGGAACTGGTAACATTTCCCAGTTCCCACTGGTTTTATGAATGACTTTGACCTTATTTATATGCTCCCGCTGGGCAGTATATTTCACAGGCACAACATCTCGTTTCATTTTTATGCTGACGATACCCACATTTACCTTCCGTTGAGAGCCCGTGAACCACACTCGGTGATGCATTTACTTGCTTGTCTGATAGACATTGAATGTCTCATTACAATTAAATGATAATAAGACCAAAATTATCCCCTGTGGGTCACCAAATTGCAATATCCCTGTACTTGGGCCAACTTTCTACTTTTACGAAAGATCACGCACTAAATTTAGGTGTAATTTTTGACTGTGATTTTAAATTTGATCAGCAAATTAATTCTGTTGTTACAGCTGCTATATATTGTCTTAGAAATATTTAAAAACTTAAATCATCTTTATCACCTCCAGAAAGTAATTCATGGCCTGATTTCATCCCATATAAATTATTATTATTAACTCTCTGTATTCGGAAAGTCATCACTTTCTTACCTACAACTCACTCAGAATGCCCCAGTTAGCCTGTTGACCAAGACAAAAAAACGGATAGCATAACACCTACACTGACTGTGTTGTACTGGCCCCCAGTCCAGCATAGGATGCAGTTCAAAGTTTATCGATTGTCTTTTAGGCTCTGAATGGGTCGTGCCCCTCTTGTGTTACCGATTAGCTTGCCTACCATTGTGGGTCCAGACAGCTGAGGTCCTCCAACAAACTTTTACTGTCTGTACCACAAGCCCAGAATAAGAAAAACGTGACCGAGCTTTTTCTGTGTAACACACCTAATCTCTAGAATGCTCCTCCACTGGAGATTAGGTCCTCTCCTTCAATCTCTCTGTTGCGATTAAAAACCTATTTTTATAGATTGACTTTTAGTTCTGACTGTTGCCAGTTATTATTTGGATGCTTCACTGCATTTTTGGATGTATTGTATTGTGATTATTTATAGGGTTGTCTTACTCTTGTTCTGTTTGTGCTTACTTTGTACAGCACTTTGGAATACTCTAAAGTGTGGTTTAGAAATTAAATTTACATTACATTACATTAAGGACCCCTCCCTTCTCCCCCCTTCCCCAAAAAAAGCAGTGTCATCAAAGTAGGTTTTCGCCACTTGTCCAAGTGTATATATATAAATAATGTAGTTTATTTCAGTAATTCAATCAATTAAATATTTATGGTAAAATACTCAAACAGAATGAATGTGCAGTTGCAGGTTTATTTTTAGCACTCTCCAGATCTGAGGGCAGTGTTGGCAGCGGCCTGGGGGGCGGTACGGTACGGGCGGCGGCCTGGGGGCGGTACGGTGCGGGCGGCAGCCTAGGGGCGGTACGGTGCGGGCGGCGGCCTGGAGAAGGTACGGTATGGGCGGCGGCCTGGGGAAGGTACGGTATGGGCGGTGGCCTGGGGAAGGTACGGGCAGCGGCCTGGGTGCGGTACAGTGCGGGCGGCGGTCTGGGGGCGGTACGGTGCGGGCGGCGGCCTGGGGGCAGTACGGTGCGGGCGGTGGCTTGGGGGCGGTACGGTGCGGGCGGCAGCCTGGGGGCGGTACAGTGCGGGAGGCAGCCTGGGGATGGTATGGGCTGGAGCCTGGGGAAGGTACGGTGCGGGTGGCGGTCTGGGGGCGGTACGGTGCGGGCGGCGGCCTGGGGGCGGTACGGTGCGAGTGGCATTCTGGGGGTGGTACG